CCTCATTCTCTTTCAACTCCTGCTTCACCTCTTGTGGTGTCGGGGAAGTCGATTTCTTGTCTCGTTTTTTTGTGGGCGCGGTCGTGCATTCGGAAGTAGCCGGTGGCGGCCCGTAGACCTTGAAAGTCATGCGGCCCTGTGTCCCATCGCACTCGAGACCCAGCCGAGTACAATTCTTGCACGACGGCGACGCTTCATCGCAGCGCACATGGCGACGACGGCAGGTTGAACATCCGGTGAACCCCCGGTGATGCCATCTCCGGACCCGCTTTCGTTTCTCAGGCACAGCAGCGGCTGCGGGAAGCTGGGGCTGTGCGGGGAGAGGAGGCTTTCCCGGAGCACACACCAAAGTCTGAACCTCCATATCTATGAACTCAAGTTGGATTGGCGAAAAGATGGTGGGGGGAAGATATCCATGAGACAGAGGGAAGGACGGGGAGAGGTCCGACCGAAATTCCAAGCCAGACTGCGGAACGTTCACCAGTGTAGCATTCAGTGGCGGGGTTTTCGGAATCGGAACAGTGGTTGATGAGATAAGGAGTACTTAGTAAAAGAGCGAGTATTGGAGTCCAGACGCTGCAAGTCTGAATATCGATTGAGCGAAAATGAGGTGGTGGAGAGGAATTGATTGTGAGACGACAGGAAAAGATTAGGAATAGGAATAGAGAATGAGATTGAATGATCGACAAGCGTTGGGAAGGGGGGAAGAAAGGTCGAGATCGGATCCGATTATTATTAAGTCAGTCGAACCACCGGGTTGGGTGAGTGAGGGAGTGTCCGGGGGGGCAAATAATCTAAAGGCGGCGAAAGATCAAGTCAAAGACAAGACAAGACAAGACAAAGGCCGGGGAGGGACCGAGTGGGGAGAGAACTAAGACTGAGCACGAAGAGGGATGAGGGGGAGGGGGAGGGGAGGGAATGAAAGAGATTGAACTCTGGTCGGGCAAATAATAATGCAATTGAAATTGATTAACTGCAGGTGAGACCAACTACCGACTTGGCTTATGTCTAGTATATTTCTGAGTCTTAAGTCGAAGCCTAGCACTGGTCTTTTTCTACCTTCAGCTACCCTTTGTCTACTCGAATTAATTTTTTTTTCTTTGTGTTGTAAGCAAGTTAGCAAGACTATGTAATACGTAGAGAGCTAGAGTAGTCGGGAGATCTGGATGAGCGATTGAGAGCAATGGAACCCATAGCCCATACCCACTTGTTTCCTACCTCTCCTCCCCAATCAATCTGTAGATCCTCCATCCAGAGACATGGTCCGGTGCAGTAATTCTCCTTCTTCTCTGCCTCTCGTCTCTCTCCTCCCACCGAACATATCCTTTGGAATGATATTACCTGTACATCTCTTGCATCATAGTTGCTAGTATTTTTTGTCCTAGAGAAGAAGCGGAAAGAGAGAAACTGCAATCTGCCGGCTGCACCCTAAATTACCCTACAGTCGCCGACGCAACACTGGACAAAACGGAGGCTGCAGATCAACCCTAATGGTGGATCGGATGCCTGATGATCGGACATGGTCACCCTTTCTTCGGAACGCAACTCTGCCCCCAAAACTAAAGACTAAAGCTTTCCATCTTTCTTTTTAGGTTCTCCTGCTCGAAAATCACGCATGGAGAACAGTCCAGTCTTTACTAGCCTCCAGCAGCACCTCCTACCACACTTTGAGGAGGCCTGGCAAACCTACCGAGAATCGGTGGCCCGCAATGACTGGCTTTCCTGCCTTTCCCAGATCTCCACTCCGATCCACTCGTGCCTTGGGTTCAGCGGCAGAAGATTGAGGTTGCAGTCGACTGGACAAGCCTGTCCTGCCAGAAATCTCCGTGCTTCTGATAGCAATGAAGCTAGTCAAAACTAGACCTGCGCCCCAAGACAATTCTTGGAGAAATCAGTCAGTCATCCAGGAGTCCGACTGTCCAAGGCCCAACGGATTTGCGCGAAATGGCAACTAGTTTCCTCCTTTCTCGATTGCCAAGCACTTGACTGGAAACTCTCTTCCTTGGCTGCTCCATTCGATCCAGTTGTCCCCCTCGTGCAACTTGATCTCAGTCGCTTGTTAACAAGCCTGTCCCTGTCCGCTCCCTGTTTATATTCCAGGCGTGATATAGCCTGGAGCATCGTCATTTCGTCCACTTAACAGATCGTCCCGCAATCGCTCAGACTTGCCCAACGAGTCACCGTACAATCGATCTTGCTCCTCGGCAGAGGCTTCCTGGAGTGTGGAATTCTCTCAACCTCTCCGACGGCTGTACATTCCGTTGACCTCGATCCGAAAGCACGCTTCCCACTGCGCTTGGGTTAGAGAGGTTTACGCCCCCCCTTGCGGACAATCACGACTCCATTCTGGTGTGGGACGGGTGGTCCCGCCGTACCCCGTGCACTACCGTCAGAGGTCAGCGAAGGAAAACTTCATCGTCTTGCATAGTCCCATTTTCCCAGATTGTTCGATCCGATGAAGTCAGCCCCTTTGACCTGCCAATCATTGGTGACGCCCGATGACAGGTTTATGGTCGATGTCAGTGGCCCCAGGGTCTTTGCATAATGTGCGAGAAGGCAATTCGAAAGGCAGCAATCTCCACCGTTTTGGTCTCCCTACCGACGGTTCTCACACGTCCCGTTCCATGGACTAGGACGAGTTCTGGACGCAAGAGGCGATGAGGATCACAGATCCCCTTTGTAACAAACGTCCATATTGTGTAAGAGGTTGGACCCTGTCCGATCAAGACTAGATATTCATGTCACGAACAAGGCAACTAGACTACTTCCCAAACAACCTCAGGGCTAACCCCAATCCACCGTCTATACAAACCCACCTGCTGAGGTAGCACCGTAGCAGCATCACATTGTTCCAGATGGGTCAGCACGTACTAGAAGTTTAATCCCGGGCCGGGTTGACACAATAGTGACTCGTTCAATGCTTATTACAGAGCCAGAAGATCACTAAATCCGCCGCCGGCCCAATTCCCCCCGTCTCTCTTCCCCCTCCCCTTAACGGAAGTAAACGGGGCATATCAGAAGATGCAGTCGCTAGTAAACTCAAATCGACATCCCGCTCGCTCCTAGGGGAACATCCCAGAGTAGCCCATAGCAGATCCTTTCCCCTTCCTTCTCTTTCTCGCTCTCTTCCTAGAGGTTCCCTTACAACCCAGAGCCCCTGGCCTATTCTTAAACCGTTGCGCCACCAGGTTCTCGAAAGTTTAAGCCGACATATACTTTGTTGTGTGTTGTAAAAACGGTACAGCCCTCAATGACAATAATATGCTTTGACACCAACTGGTGTAAACTCAGTTCAAAGCGTGCGCGTACTGTACTTCATCACATCTAGTGCTCGTGCGTTGCTTGAGTAGGAGACTAGAGTGCCAATCCCTCTCGTGCACAAGAACCAGCATCACAGCACACAGCACTCCTCTTTCCCATACCTGTTCAGTCATGGAAGGCTGATTCTACATCGTCTCACTCACCTCAGCCCCAGGGATCGTGGAAACCCGAACCCACTGACATGCGTTAAAAACCATAGCCAAACATCATTATAGACTATCCACAATACACCAATGATCAGACAAGGCAGTACTGTACCTATACTCCGCACAAAGTATGCACTCAACCCATGCACCTCAATTTCAAGACAAATAAAGAGATTATCTGAGCGCATCATGCCCTCGAACCTTCTGGATCATGATTTACCCCCCAGCCCCAACTAATCCCAACTCGCATAACCTAACCGAATTCCCCATTGAATTGTTCGGGCATCGCCCGACACCAATGCAAGGAGACTGGCCATCTCTGCATATGTCGCATGCAACAATTCCTTTCCTCATTCCTCTGTCGCCGTTCTCGCATCCTGCATGCCGTGAAAATCGGCAGTATTGCTTACTCCGTACCTAGTACCAGTAGTTTCCTTTTCCGAACTGGCCCCGGAAGGATGATCGGATCCGGGAGGATGAGTAGAAGGATTTTCTTTTCTCTCCCTTTGGCCCTTGAGAATTCATCTCGACAGGGGTGGTTGTCACTGCCTCGCGTTCTCAGTTTTAGATCGTGTGTGGGCTGGGCTAAGTCTTAGTCAAGATCTGGTAATGGGTTTGCTGAGCGCGGGCGGATGGTGCGGGACGACTACAGCTGCTAGGCTGCTAGGCTGCTAGGTTGCAATCTAGGTATGCCGGTGGGATGATTTCTTTTGATCTATTTGTGTGTGTGCTGGATACCTGTAGCAACGATGGTGTCCATCGTGCCTTCTAGAAGGGCTGAGGCAGTGAAGTCGTGTTTACTGTGGCGAAAAAATCCGAGCTCGTGTATTTGCAGGTAGGAGATTCTGTGGCCTTACAGTAAGAGAAAGCAACCAGGCATATAGAGTCTACAGTGGGTTGTTAGAGTACAGGAATTCTTGGGGAATCAGCTGGACGCGTCGATTGGAAAGCACATGTCAACTGAGGGCCTGTATTTGGCTGTGGCTGGATCACTCCATATGTACATACACAGACCCAATTATCCTGTCCATCTCAAATACAAGGCAACCGAGATGTGGACTAGTTGGTCGAGGCTTAGCCCACACTGTGGCCCCTTTCCGGTCTTTCAGGTTCGTATTGTTAAGTTTGCCCTTGCGCGTAGTCGGCCGAGCGCCGACGGCAATGGCACGACGATCACCCCCACAACCCGGGAACAGTGAAAGCCAACGTCATGACTGAGGAAAGAGAGATGAAAGAAAAGAAATTAGAATACAGAGAAAGTATTGGGTATCTGCTGGCAAACCAGAATTTCAAAATGCCCGCCAGAGGTAGGAAAATGCAAGGGTCAGACATTCATAAAGAGTGAGCACAATTCAGAGAGGAAAAGGAGATAATGAGGGTCCGAATCAGATCATCAAAGGCGCTCCGTTACCCTGCAAGAATTTGATGAGACATCATATCTGAACCAAGACAGCCGAAACCAAATCGGGAAGGAAGAGGGCCCGATAGCGCACCGGACGCGGACGGTACAACATGTGAGAGGCGAGGACGAACTCATGCATCAACAGACACGGTCGTCCCGGGGAAAGGAAAGGATGCGGATTCTCGGGGCTCAGGATCTGGCGACTCCGCCGCGTCGCCCTTCCCATTCGTACGGTCAAATTCTAATGTTTCGGCTAGCTCAGCAGCCATGGGATCGAGGTCTTCCTCCTTGAGACCAGTGGCGAGTGCCACCAACTTCCGATGGACATCGAACTTGGTGCTTACTCCCGCGTCAGCCGTCTGCTGAGCAAGGTCTTTGACAGCAGCGCGCCGAGCTTTCTGTGCCGAACACAGTTGTCGAGCCAGCTGGTAGGTGCGCAGCAGTTTATCGTGGTCTGTGGCGGGTGGCGTCGTACCCTCCTGTGCTGCAGGCACTACTACCGATGATATGCGCTCTCTTAGGCGACCCTGCTGAATCTGCTCTAGCAGTGACTCATAGCCACTTCGCAACTGCTCGTAGCGTTCAAGCTGCGCATCGATTGGTTGCTCACCAGCCTCCTGCGCTTGTAAGACAGCTGTTTCTTTCTGCACCTTCTGTCGATCCACCTCTAGTTGCTCGTACAGTGTTTCCGGGTTCGCAACGTCGTCAGAGTCCTGCCCATTCGCTTTTGAGCTTCCGTAGCTTACGGTAAGTTTCTTATTTGCTTCAGCCATTATCACACCGATTTTGGTCAGCAACGCGGTGGTGGCGGGAGATGATGACTCTTGGGCAAGAGTGGCGGCCTGGGTGTCAACATTCATCGGTCCTGGCGCTTCACCGTCCAACTGGTCATTGCCCATCGTGATAGATGATGGCGGGGGAGGAATGTCGCGTTCGGACGGATGCGCTCGTCGAGTAATGCTTGCAGCCGTCTCGCCCTTCTTGTTCACTAAGTCGCCAGCCCGTGGACACCGTGCAAGAAGCAAGTCCACCAAGCGGAATGCGCCATTCCGAGCAGCGACCAAGGCCGCTGTGTCTCCATTAGAGTCCTGGAAGGACAACAACAGATCGACTTCTTCCACCGAGCACATGAGGCGCAGCTTGTCTAGCAACACATCACAATAGTACCGTGAGCTTTTCCATTTTCCCTTGCTCCGCGTAGTCTCTGCTATATGATGAAATATGGTAGCACCAAACCAGTCTCTGAATGAGACTGTATCCCAAAGTAAATCGAGAAGCGGAGGGAAAGTTCTCTTCTCGTAGTTATTTGTAAACAAAACGGCTCGCACAAGCGGGGTTTCTTCGTGTACCGATAATGCCTTCATATCTGCTCCTCTCCGTAGAAGATCTTTCACAATCTCTATATCTCCCATAGCACAGGCCCAGTGAAGGGCCGTGTTACCAGAGTCGTCAATTGGGCGATCTACCTGGAAGTTGGATGGTGGCTGTGGAGGTGGTACACGTGTAGCCTCGGGCGCATCGCCTACTGTCATGAAGTAGTCCAAGAGCTGGTCCCCATAGAGTATGTGTTCTTGTTCGCTGATGGACATCACAGGCGCCTCGTTGATTCCACGCTTGCGCTTGCGAGAGAAGTTACCGTTCTGTGACATTGTCATCATCTCCTCATCCGCTATCATTGACGATGACTCAAGTGTTGCTTGCTCGATGGACTCGTTGTCGTCAAAGCCGGCGCTCATCTCGTATTGTTCGTGGGTAAAGGGAGGTGGCGCCATATTCCGGGCTGGTTTGATAGCACTAAAGACCTCCTCGTTCACAGTTCTCCGGTTGGCTGTGTTCTTCGGCGCCCTTGGTTTCGATGCGGCGTTTGTGTGTTTCGGTGCTGGTGGAGGGCTACGATCTCCGGCAACATAGTCAAAAATCGGCCTCAATTTGTCGATAATATTGTTGCGCTCAGCGAGAAGTCGGCCTTCAGGGAGAGGTATCCACGTTCCTACTAATGTCAGAACCTAAACGTCTTTCAGAAGAAGGGGTAATCATGAGGAGCTTGGGCAAGATGGACTTACCTTGATATTTGCCATATCCACCTTGCACCTTCTCATGGACACCCTTTTGTACCTCCCGCTCGAGAATCCTCGTTCTCGCTGGCTTGTCGAAACCGGCGACTTTGAGAATATGGGTTGCATTTATCCAGTCGTCCGACCGTCTGCGCATCACGCTTTCTCCATCAAGTTTCAGCTCGTATACCGGTACCTAGTGACATGCATCAGCTGGGGGTTCTACCCCTTGGGTTGATCGAAATTGGTCGTAAGCGATCCAATTGAAGAAGGCACGGTAGGTTCTAGATATTCCTACTTACACTGCTGTAGGTAGCAGAGTACACTTTGGAAAAGTCAACTCCCGCCATGATGTGCGTCCCCTCACCCTGTCCTGATTCAGTGAGGTCCCGTTCAGCAACAGCGACTGGCACCGCCGCCCGGCAGTCGGACAACAACAAGGATCTCAGGAGTTTATTCAATTATTGAGATGCATTAAGATCCGACGCTCGTTGATTGGCCGGGTTGCATCAAATGAGCATGTCTTGGGAAAGACCGAGGATGGCTTGTTAATGATTCTGCAGTATTGATCTCGAAACGCGAAGGTCTGGCTAAGCAAGACGCGCCCTGGGTACGTCGGACCGCGTAAAGTGGATTTAGCCAAGCTAGTCCTCTTACGAATATACGGTCACGTGCAGTCACATGATGCTACCGGCAAGCAAGGAACGACGACGACTACGGAATAGCTGCAAACCTCACGGTCCAGTCGCTTGTCATCGAAACCCACCTTGATAACACACTTTTCTCCTCTCAATATGACTGTTGCCGAGACAGTGAAGAGCGCCGTTGGGCTTTCGGGCAGCACTCGTAAGTTTTTATTGCCATTGGCCCCCTCTGCGTGGGGAAGCTACGCGCTGAATAATGCTGCTCATCGAAGTCATGACTGACACACTCTCTCAGCTGCCACGAGCCAGGAAATGTCGGATGCTCGCCTTCCTCTTCAGTACCGCGACTCTTGCGCTCACTTGCTAATCCCTTTGAACCGCTGCCGGCAGCAGGAGTACTACCTCCCTTGGAAGTGCGAGGTGCGTTGTTCTGATTCCGCGAATACTCCTTCCCTATAATTTGCGTTATGGAACAATGGCTCTGACATGTACTTCGCAACCTGCAGGATGAGCGACACAGCTACGAGAAGTGCCAGTACGAGGAGTTCAAGAAGCGCGTCGCCAAGATGGAAGAGCTCCGCGCCGCAAAGGATGGTGCCCGCAGCAATTGATACCGGAATCTTCGACATCCTATTATTCGCGACGAACGAAGCAGCATGTTATGTACATAGAGATTGTGAGATTGTTTGTCCATGTACCGACTTTGGCGTTGGGATTCTATCGAGTCGATCCTGTCGATACCATATTTTGAGAGCCAGGGTCAATCAACCCATGAGAGGCCTCAGTAGCTGGTCACCTCCCTCCAGTGTCTTTTGGGAGAACCGCGCAGCTTGACGTGCTCCTACTCTAGGGCAATATAGCATGAGTAAGACAGGCATTTCTGCTCTAGCCGGAGGCCGGTTTGAGCATGTCAGCCTGCTAAAAAGCGAGTCGAGATTGAGACAGCATCAATTGATTCTGGCACGAGAGCTTCAATCCCTTTTTCTGGAGCACCTTATCCTAATTGCAAATCAAGTTAAAATGATGGTAACAAGCTCCCGCTTTACATAGTCAATCATGTGCGAAGATGCCATGGTCTGGGTGTGTATTTATGTAGCGCAGTAGAAAGAGGAATCTTGCGTAAGCCATTTGAATCATGTTTCTCTCGCTATGCTGGAAGAGGAATGCATAATTATAGTTAGTTATAGCTGGAGAATGGATCTGTATACGGCTGCAGCGCACTGATGACGGGAAAATCACCTGACCGGGCGCCTTTCCTCCACGCTGCTTAGAAATCGACGTGGGTGACAATCACCGATAATGCTTTTCTTGCCCCGCTACGAACGGAGAGACGTTTTGTCCCCGCCAATAGGCGATTGAGCCTGGAACCCCGAAGGTTCGACAAGAAAATCAGCATCAAGTCGATAAGAAGGAGCACGATCCGTCTGCTTCCTCTTTCTCTGGCATCCTTTGATCCTGCTTGGCGGTTCAGGATCTTGGTTCATCTCCCCCGTGCCTTGAGTCGGGCCATTGCGTGCTACTGACGTGACTCGATCGAGGGTCCTAGATCGGAGGCTAATTGTCGAATCTGGAAGTTCCCCCTCATCTCCGCGGGGTTTTTGTATGGACTGATTTTCCCGTCCTCTCACCCCACTACCTTTGTGCCGCGACCCAACGGTCAAGTCTCCCCCTCGGAAAATCCGCGCGCCTTTCTGCGGATAGTCCTGATCAGCGACAGGATGGGCTTGCTGTATGTGATGAGCGCTGAGTGAAAGTTAAATTATTTGAGCGCGCCAGAAACTGACTTGCGTTCCTACAGCGCGCTTGGAACGGCCCTGGATTGGCCGGAGGCCAAGAAGAGAGCAGACCAGGTTCGCAAATGGGGAATCGAGGTGAGTATCTCGCCATTGAGTCTCTTTGACATATAACGCAGCCTGAAATGTATTGACCAAAGACAGCAATTACTTGCGAACTGGCATAGAGCCAAGGGCAAGGAGCGCAATGCTCTGCTTTGGGGCGACGAGGTAAGATTTTACCCCGCAGGATCTCATGTTCTTGTGCTGATCGATCTCAATTCATCAGGTTGAGTACCTTGTTGTAGCTGTCGATGACGAAGCGAAGAAGGCCCGCCTTTCACTCGCACAGGCGGAGATTCTTAAGTCGCTTGCGGAGGACGAAGCATCATGGAAGCAGGGAACTCGGCCTCAGTCCCCGAACAACGAGCAGTGAGATCTGGTGGCAAGAACAAATTGTGAACATTTCTGATGGATTGCAGTGACGGGGAAGAGCCACCACACTTCCATCCGGAGTTTGGCCGCTTCATGCTTGAAGCAACGCCGGGTAAGCCCTGGGGAATTGATTTCAAGGACCTGCTGAAGGTCGAGTCAAACATGAAATGGAGGTTCGTACCCAATCACTGGATTTGATGATAGCTTGTGACCTCTAACATCATCATCCACAGACGCGAGGTTGCCAAAGCCCACATGGCACCGAATGAACATCCCATCACCCTTACGACATTCCCTCGTCTAGGTACCAAGGATGACTATATCCAGCCCTATTATCCACCGTCTGGTCCTGCGCTGCGGTCTCAGTTTGTGCCTGACGAGATTGCCAATCCGCACATCAGGTTCCCAACCCTGGCTGCCAATATCCGGTCAAGGAGAGGTCGCAAGGTGGAATTGAACGTCCCGGTATACAAAGACACGAACACGCCCGAACCATTCAAAGACCCAACTGTGGATTATGATCTTCATATCTGGCCCGAGGATGACGACGTTAGAAACGGGGCAGCCAAGGACGATCATGTGTACATGGATGCCATGGCTTTCGGCATGGGCAGTTGCTGTCTGCAAATCACTTTCCAAGCCAAGAATATGACTGAAGGGAGGAAACTGTACGACCAATTGAGTCCACTGGGCCCTATCTTGCTGGCCTTGACCGCTGCTACGCCGATTTACAAGGGCTTCCTTGTTGACACGGATGTACGCTGGAATCAGATTGGTGGGGCTGTTGATGACCGTACTCGTGAAGAGCTTGGCGAACTTGTACGATTGCCCTGTCCCGTATTGATGTCATTCGCTAACATCTCATAGCCCTTGAAAAATGATAGATGGAGGATCCCTAAATCTCGATATGCCTCAAACTCGACTTATATCTCACAAGACCCCCGGTTGCGAAAGGAATATTTGGACCCTGACTTGATCATTGACGAGGACATCAAGAAGCGTCTGATGGACGACGGAATGGATGATCTTCTAGCCACACATTTTGCACATCTCTTCATCCGTGATCCTTTGGTCATCTTCTCGGAAGATCTTGAAGAACTCGACCTGAACAAAGCAGATCACTTCGAGAATCTGCAGTCCACAAACTGGCAGCATATGCGGTTCAAACCCCCACCACCTGACAAGGATGACATTGGTTGGCGGGTCGAGTTCCGTTCCATGGAAATCCAGATGACCGACTTTGAGAACGCGGCGTTCAGCATTTTCATTGTCCTTGTGACACGCGCGATCTTGACTTATGATCTAAACTTCTATATCCCGATTCAGCGCACGACAGAGAACATGGAGACCGCACATGCACGCAACGCGGTTCACGACCGGAAATTCTACTTTCGCAAGGACCCTTTCTCCCCTCGCCGCCCGAATCCTCATTCATCCAGTGGAAGCAACGTCTCTTCCACCACGTCGTCCGCTGCCAACTCACCGCCTCCATCGCCATCCCTTACCCCGGTGGAGTCCGAGTACGAACTCATGACTATATCAGATATCATTAATGGTTCTTCCGATGGCTCTTTCCCTGGATTGATCCCACTTGTCGAATCGTACCTTAACAGTGTCAATGTGGATGTCGAGACTCGCTGCTCATTGGCCAGCTACCTTGACTTGATACGCAAACGTGCGAACGGGACTCTTTGGACGGGCGCCAAGTGGATCCGCGAATTCGTTGCTTCGCACCCGGACTACAAGCAAGACAGTGTTGTTTCGGAGCGGATCTGCTATGACCTTGTTAAGGCCGTGGACGAGATGAGTGTGCATGAGGGGAGGAACGGTACCGTTGGGTGGGAGCTTCTTAAGGGTAAACGTACTTGAACAGAAGTTGTAAATACATTCACATATAGATGTAGATAGCCTGTCCATTTCTACTGTCACTTATTGTTGAGTACTACACATTGCTGTCAGTTCTGTTGAATAATACTACAGGAGACTTGGTTTGCTCAATCGCTTTTTCCTTGTGCTTAACATCGTTGTATGGGAGGTTTGTTGGATGGACCTGATTTCTGCGGAACAATGTGATAAGGAGTTGGCTGCAAGCCTCTTGAGTCAAGCCTGCAATTCCCAGAAAAGCAACTTCCCCCCTTCGGTCTTCTTTCTCAATCGGACGGGATCTTCGCGCCTCAAAACTTTCCCGCAATCCTCAAATGCCACACATTCAAGGCAACCAGATCTTTTCCTCCTCTGTCGGTTCTCGACACGAATCAGCCACCCCAGTCACCTTCCATGTGTTGTTGACTTTGTGAAGTATGAAGAGCTCAACGCCGACATGATGCACAGCACCATTAACCTTTGCCCGGAAAGGGGCCCAGACGGCGGCCAAGCTACCTGAAGGATATACTTTCACTTCAGGGTCCCAGATACGCTCATCGATCTCATCCTGGATCTTGATCACCTGTTCCACGAAGGTTCCAATGGTACAGAAACGAGGGAGGGTCGGTGAAGGGGGCCAGAGGGACATTCCTCCCGCTCGCACGCAGTATTTGTCGAACTCGGCGGAACTTTTCGTCCTCAGCGCACCTAGAAAGCCGTTGATGACGATCAAGATGGATTTAATTTCTTCGGAATGTTGAGAGAATGCTGATTTTACATCGAACGTGGTAGAGGGATCCCAACGCATAATTTCAGGTTCCATATCAAACGAAACAAGCGCCGTCGAACATGTCAGTGCTTGCAGGATGTGGCCCCATCTCCCTCATGGTTGTCAACTGAACATAACTTATATGATGGGGCTTTGCTCACTGTCACGGGCGCCGGTGACGTACCTTGGCTTGGTGTCGCTGTGCCAGGAACGTCACCTTTGGTCTGTCATAGGAAAGACAGCACATGCACTTTCCCGACTTTGTAGGCACTGAAACCGGTCGGCATTGAGTTTTTGGCCTACCCCTATCGGCTGGTCAGACGGACGGCCTGATTTCGAATCAATGCCGACATTTTCAATTTATCAGGAGCTACAGTCACAGCGACTCTCCATCAAGCTGCAGATTCGAGCGCAGGCTGTTTCAGAGGCGCAACCCCTGGGGTTACTGTTGCAGCCATGAGAACGCGCTCGCTTTACTTCGAGGTTTTCCCTTGCACTTAATCAATCGGGGCCCATCTCCTGGACAAGTCGAATGCTGTGAAGCGCCCCGAAATTACGATCGTCTGGCACGTCTTACAGAGCTCTTGCCATGTCCGACCACTTCGAAGGGTCGAGCGCAATAGCAGTCAAGGAATCGAGTGTCAGATCGTTTTGACGTGAGCACTGTAAGACACTAAAGCTCCAGCCATTGCTCGTCAGGCAAGCTGCATATGCCTCGGTGGCTATGACGTGCTACAGCGTGTGACACTGGTCTTCTCGACATTAGGAGTAAGAACTGGTTGGCCGGCCGTGCAACGGCAGATTCGCGGCCAAGAAATCCCGTCGGAGGAAGTCTCACGAGTGAGGAACAGATTACGTTGCCTGGATTGGTCCTGGTACGTCTTGGCTACTGTGTAGCTCGAAGGATTTTCTTGCCTTCGGAGTAGGAGCTGCTTGTGCAATATGACTGCTGAGGGGTCCTCGCGAATCCTCGGAGCATAGCCGGCAGACGGCTGTTAAACCCTAAGCATGCAAGAACCTGCAGACAGACCGACATGGCGGTCAAAAGCCCACATTTCTTTCTATCTCGCTGTCTGACATTTCAAACATTATCCATAGTTTCAGTTTTGTGCCAGGTCTGCGTTGCTTTGCTCGTCTTGCGGCCTCGACTTACATGTTCTGCGAGGACACCAACTCTAGGGGGCGTTGCCATCGAATGATACTCCCGAGCAGAACCCGGCTATAATGTTATGCCCGGATAGCCTTAATAGCATCATGCTATTATCCCGTTTGCGGGGACATGAACGGCATATATCTTCCCCGCCAAGTTTTCAACCTCGGGAATACCTCGGGTCAAGCAAAACTCGAGCAGAATGCGGGCACCTGTACGAATGAGGGTATGGAGACGAGGGGTTTTCACCGACCTTTGCATGACTCGCTCTCACCATTCTATCCCCATGACCCCAATGCTCCGCATTTTGGCCGGCGGCGCAACCTGATTTGGAAGCACTCCCTGTTGATGGTAGGATCTGGAGTGCTTCCCCACATCCCGCGACTGCTGTTAGCCCGGGGTTGATGATGCAACGTTTGGACCTGATGCCGGGTTTTGCGCCAGGCCCCTTATGCCGTGAAGATCCAGGTATAAATGCTGCAGAGCAGCGTCGTCGGAGTATGGTGTAGCAGCTTCAGAGTCTTTTTGGAATTCATAGCTCTCTGGAAGATGCGCAGGGCATTCATTTGTTTGCTTGGTCTCTCTGCCAGTGGCATTGTCACTTCGGCTGATACATCTCAGCCTACAGCTCATGTTCGCAATGGTACATATGTCGGAGTGAGAAACAGTAATTATGAACAGGACTTCTTCCTTGGTATACCTTATGCGCAACAGCCGATTGGCGACTTGCGATTCAGGGTTCCAAAGTCCCTCAATGAAAGCTGGGATGGTGAGCGTGAGGCGAAGGCATACTCAGACATCTGTGTGGGGTATGGGGTATGCCACGATATTGCCTTCACCGACTTCATATGACATAAGCTGATGTTAGTACGTTAAGACGGACTCTATATGGTACAATCAGTCCGAAGCATGTCTCACCCTCAATGTCATCCGCGATTCCTCTTTCAACGAAAGCTCAAGCCTCCCAGTAGGAGTCTGGATCCATGGAGGTGGCTTCACAGAGGGATCAAGTGCGGATCAGCGCTATAATATGTCTGCAATTGTTGCCAATGCTCACAAGATTGGTATGCCGCCTTTGAGCAGTTGTTATGGCCATTATTGACATATCTTTGTACGCACAGGCAAACCATTCCTCGCAGTGTCGCTTAACTACCGTCTCACGACCTGGGGTTTCATAAGCTCTAGTGAGGTCAGCGGCACAGGTAACACCAACCTCGGCCTCAGGGATCAGAGACTGGCTCTTCACTGGATTAAGGAGAACATTGCTGCATTCGGTGGTGATCCGACAAAGATCACTATCTGGGGCGAGTCTGCGGGAGCAATGTCTGTTGGGTATCACCTTGCAGCCTACGGGGGTAGGGATGATAACCTCTTCCGTGCAGCAATCATGGAGTCCGGGGGAACCATTGCCGCCGGTCCTTCTAACTACACCGGCTATCAGGCCCTCTACGATGACCTCGTGGCCAAGGTCAACTGCTCCGACGTTGTGGACTCATTGCAATGCCTGCGCGAGGTTCCATTTGAGAAGTTGAATAGCGTCCTCAATGGAACCGATGGGCAATCGAACTACCCTTTCTCTCCTGTCATCGATGGTGATCTGATTCCGACCTGGGGCAGCCTCCAGCTTGACCGCCATGAATTCGTTCAGATCCCTATCATTGCCGGCACCAATACTGACGAAGGGACTGCGTTCGGGCCCACCGGGATCAATACGACGCAGGAATTCTATGCATATCTTACCAGTACGTATGCCCTGCTCTGTGTCTCTGGTCTACCAGTATTACAATTTACTAAGTTGCCACAGATGGCCAGGCTGGCTTCCAGCTCCCTCCCTCCATCGCCAAGCATATCCTGCAGGTCTACCCCGATGATCCGTCCTTGGGTATCCCGGAGTACCTTGGCTCCAGACGAGTCCCATCCAAGGGTTACCAGTGGCGACGCACATCCGCGTATGCAGGGGACGCGAAGATGCACGCGAACCGACGACGACAATGCGAGGCGTGGACGGCGACCAACACCACGGCCTACTGCTACCGCTTCAATGTGCGGTCCGCGGACGTCGCACCCTTATCAGGAGCCACCCACTTCGAGGAAGTAGCCTTTGTCTTCAACAACCTCGCGGGCCTTGGGTACCACTATGGGCTTCCGTTCGCGGGGATGCCCGAGTCCTACGTGCAACTGAGCCAGCTGATGACCAGCATGTGGGCATCTTTCATCCACGACCTGGACCCCAATTCGGGCATCAAGAACGAGTCGGCGGTCCGGTGGCAGGCATACGGGCAGGGTCGGCCGGTCGATCTGGTCTTCAATGCTAATACTACCAGCTATATGGAGCCAGACACGTGGCGAAAAGAGGGGATTGACTATATCAACTCCGTGGCAAGTGCGTACTGGCGATAGAACTGGTTTATTTCTCCCCGTTCATCAGGGTTCTGCTGCAAAGTCGGATGTTCATATACATGTGAAAGCGAAAGATGCGACTCGGTGGTTTGAGTTGGCCGCAGATGCAGCTTACGATAATGATAATGGATCTGGAAGTCAGAAAGCAAACAAACAAAGAACGACCCAAGATGTGCGTGGTTCGAATTGGGGTGCTCATGTGTTTCTACGTAAAAGAGGAGGAGCCAGTCACGGTCCTTAGCGCCTCATGCACCCGGCCATGCATGTAGATCTGAACACCTCTAGGACAGAGTTACTCCGCTTTGAGTGAGGCCCCGAGCGTAAGCATTACCAAGCAAGATTACCTTCTCATCTCATCCGTGGAAAGAAAGCCCTCCAGCCTTCGTTTCTTCGAACCATTAAAAAAACAAGGGTAGTATCTCGGCCCATCATGCTAAGCCATCCCACTATTCCCACCAAACCAAACCATGTACACTGTGTATGGAAGCCATACCCCAGCCAGAGACCAGACCCCGGTCAGAGACAAACAAGAGCCACCAATCCACTTCCATACCAAGTACCTACCATCACATCAACACCAAGACAAAATGGGAGGCAAGGAGCAGAGTAACCCAGACCCAGCCAGAAGTAAATAATTTAAACAAAGTTTCCACCGGCTCCGATTTCATCTAGTCCTGATCTGGGGGGGGGGGGGGGGCGGGCGGGTCAAGAACTTAACTTCTCACTTCCAGTTTTCGATTTTCTGCATCTATACGAACCCAAGGAACCGCTATACCTGTTTAACCATTGTAAGTGCACACGGGAACGAACAATAGAAGGAAAACTTTTTTGGAGCCAAAAGTTGCAATCCTGGAAGATCGGATAGCGGATCCCAATCCCATTCATTGTTAATTAGGTTAATCACCGGCGACTTGGATGGTGGAGTGGTGGTCTGACTGTGTGGGTGGAGAGAGAGATACAGTACAAACGAGCCAAGTTCTGCCCGATTGGGATGTATTTAGTGTAGACTCGGTTCTGATTGTTGTTCTTCGCCACGGGTATGGAATGACCGCATATTCAGGGGATGATCTGGGGTTCTTTGCAAATGATCTGAGATGATGGAATAAAACCTGAGGGTGCTGATCGAGACTTCATTGACCATCTTACACGAGTATCATGAGTACTAGAATCGAACCGAGAAGATCCTATCTGGGGGAAAACAGGTGGTGGGAGAACCCCGGTAAATGGAACATCCGATGTCATTGCGATCCACCCCCCCCCCCAATGCCCTGTGCCCAAAGAGTGCACGAGACGAAAGAGAGAGCCGGTGGTTGAAGATGGTCTTGGCCTAAATGGACCAGCACAGATCCAACAC